CAGAAGAGGAAGACGTAAGACCAAGAAAACTCTGTTCACGAGCCCGAAAGTAAGTGGCATGGTGACCATTATCTTAAATGCAGCATATCTGACGTTGTCATTGCTGTTGTCCACAGGTACGACCCAGAACATCAAATCAGCGCGTTCCAGTACGACAGTTACCCCAAGTCGGGTCAGCTATTCTCATCAACGAGGTGATGATGTTGGCGACCATATTCCTTCCTCATAAATCAACACGTCTTTCGCCCCTATCAGGATGGAAGATGCGAAGAGAATTTGACAATGTAGTAAGTTTAGAGATACAACGGTGCTCTCTCTCCAACATCTTCTAGCCTATCCTTCAAGACTGTAGATAGAGATACGGCCTAATATTTTATAAACCTATAGTTGACGACGTCATCACTGTCCTCGACATCCGCACTCTACCGGTTTCACTCGCTGATCTGACTAAGAGTTCATCGGAACTCTACTTGAAAACGAAATCGAAGTGTGTTCCTTCTCGACATCGTTGTCGGAGTTCGCGATGTTCGTCGTCGGTAAGAAATTGCCAAAGCAATTCAGAATAGAAACCTTCGACAACAAACGACTCCAATTAGGCGCAGACTTTTGTATAAGGGATTTGCCCTCGTTTTTCGACTTTTGTTGCCTATAACTCCAGATAGCAATGTTGACGTTACCGAATCGGTCGGCAAGTTGTTGAGCGCTCATATATCAATTCCGAGACCTGTGCCTAATCTGGAAACGGATGTCATTGGTACGTCGCAACCAAAGGTGTCGAACAATACTGTTAGCCTCAAGAATGTCATCGTCGTTGTCGGTGTCGTCTTCATCGGATGAAGGGTTCATCGTGTTCATGTAGGCAGTGTTGTTCAAATCCTTGTTGTCAAGAACGGGAACGGGCATGCGACAGGCTCGATCAAAGGAGGCTGATGCTTGGTTCTCATCGTCCGACTCGACTCCGGTTCTAGGATTGTCGAGAAGATGTATTGTGAAAGTATATGTCGGTGTATGATAGTAGATTTATGCTACGTGCGGAGGCAACTTACGTTCTGCAAGAGCGTTGGCTCAATGCATCCTTCAGAAATGTTGTCGGTGACGGGCATGTTATTGATCCCGAAGTATTCAGAAAGTATTTGCATATTAGCCTGGAGCAGAAAGTGCATAAGCAGGGGAAGTGATGCTGAATGGTGTTGACTTGCATCATCGAAGCACAAACCCAAAGATATGTCGTTCCGAGCAATGTCTTGAGTATGCATCATGGAGCTTGCGTACATGTTGTCGGCATCGAGTTGCTGAATCGCACACGACTTGTATTGCACATCGCCTTGATAAAGATCAGGAAGTTGTAGCTCGGCTGAGTTGAGCGAGCCGAAGATGGATTGGGGCTGAAGAGCAACGTATTGATGGTAAAGGTGTTGGAGAGGAAACATGATGCATGTTCGACTTACATCGTAGTCAAAGATGCCTATCTTGTCTCCCAAGTGGAGATTCGTCTTGAACGCTGACGGTCGAACCGTATTCGCAAGTTTTGAATCCAAAAGGATCGTTGTACGGCCCGTTCTGATAAAGAAAAGAGAGCGTAAATGGAAGAGTTCCGCAGAAGTAGAGCAGGTGAAAAGGATGCTTGACAACAGAGATGTTGTTGCACAAAACATCGGTGTCGTTGTTCCGGTCATCGTGCTCAGAAGCGGCAACGAAGCTGTTTTGAAAGTCAAAGGCGGTGAAGAGGGGATTGCTGGGGCTGTAGGGTCCGAACATGTCGGCGTTGAAGTACTCGGTCCAGTCGGAAACGTACAGGATGTTGGTTTCAGATTCAAGACCGGAGATTTTGGACAAGTGCGTAATGTCGGAGTCATCGCATTGGCGGGACCGGGAACGTCGATTTTTTTCTGCATAGTAACGAGGCGGAAAAATTGAAAGTAGAGGTGTGTCGGTGGATGTGGGAAAAGAAGGAGATGAGGGAGAACGACCTGGTGAAGAGAGGGAATTGACAGAGAGATCATCGTATAGAAGAATTCTTGCTCGAGAATAGAGGATATGCATTGTCTCACTACCCGTCTTGTCCTTGCGATGCGCTCGGATGGCTTCTACGTCAAAGCCCAAGGTGACGGCACCAATATTGACAGGAGCCATAGGCGTCTCGTCATGTTCGCGGGGGCCAAGTCGGTCGGGGCTGCTGTGATATTCCTTTAGATATCCGATGTTAATGTCAGGGTGTACCTTAAAGTTGGATGTCAAGTCTAGCTCGTAAGCTGTCGGCGACATTTTGCTGGTAATTTTGGCCGATGTCCTTGGATCTTAATTTAACAGATCCACCAGTTCCAAAGCTGGTCGTATCTATTTATTGCGCAGGACTTCACTTTCTTTTTCTTGACTCCTTTCGAGGTACTCCACTGCTTGGTTTTGTAGCGATTCTAGCTTGTCCACGAAAGCAGAAGAGGAGGGGACGTCGTTGTCGGGAAATAGACATGTATATGGCGGTCGGATCCAAGATCTAACTCGAAAGGAGTCAATTGGGTAGAAGGGTGCACAGCGTTGTTGTGAGCAAATGCAATTGCTGCTAGCGGTTCCGGCCAGTTATTTTGCCGGTGGTTAACGACGCTGCGTAACATTCCCTTCACTGTACGGACCATCCGTGCGGTTTGTCCGTCGGTTTGTGGGTGGTAGGCGGAAGACATAGCCAATTTGGTCACAAAACGCTCGAAAAGCGATTTCCAGAAGAGTGACGTGAATTTGCGGACTTGTTGAGTTGACATTTGTTGCAAGACCGGACGTGATCCTTGACGTCCTTTGTGAGGCCAGGCCAGTAAAATTGTCGAGCCACGGCATTCATAGTCTTAGATACTCCCAGGTGTCCAGCGATAGGACAGTCGTGAAAGTGACGTAGCAGCTGAAGTCGTATGTTGTCTTTGGATGAAGTGTCTTGAGGAATACAGAGCCTTAAGTGCCCTTCACCCGGCTGTCTGTAATGAATAAATCCATCGGAGGAGTTAATGATGAACCTGTCGAATTGACGGAGAGGCAGCGCTGATTAAGACTTTCCTCTATCTTTGTCACTTCAAGAAGTGATCGTCGGTTCTGTAACCGTTCTGGATTTTTTGCGTGAAGGTGTTGTCCATCTCCATCGTGGAGACATTGTTGCATATGGGGAGAGGGGCACGAGAGAGCGGGTCAACATTCGTATGTACTTTGCCGGCTCTATACTTGATAGTCATGTGTTCCCTGTAGGGCTGGAGATCCATGGACCATTGTACCAGTCGTTTGTTGGTGCCATTGAAGTTGAACAGCCATTGAAGAGAGGAATGGTCCGTAATGTAATCAGGGTAAGATTTATCCCGTCGATGAAGGTGTGAAGCTTCTTAACTGACCACACGATAGCCAAGCATTCAAGCTCTGTGACGGTGTAGTTTTGCTCTGCTGGGGATAAACCGATAAAGAGTGAGAAAGATACACGATGGGGTGTTCCTTTCCATCATTGTCAAGTTGAGCAAGAATGGCTCCTACACCCATTGTACATGCGTCAGTGTAAAGGATAAACGGCTTATCGTATTGTGGATGAGCGAGGATAGGAGTGCTGCAAAGCTTCTTCTTGAGGGTGACGAAAGCTTCTTCACAGTTTGCATTCCAGATGTATGGGACATCTTTCCTTGTCAAATTGTATAGCGGCTGAAAAGCCTTTAACAAACCGTCGATAGTATACGCAAAGTCCCAGAAAACGTTGTAGCTCCTTGAGGTTGGTGGGCTGGAGAAACGATTTTACAGCTTCGATAGTACCGTCGGCGGTTCCTATACCTAAATTGCTGATGGTGTGATTCAGTGCGGTGATGGACTGATAGGCGAGATGGCACTTATTCAGTGATAAAATCAGTCCTGACTTCGCTACGAGCGCGAGAATGGTGTCGCTGTCCTTTACATGCTGTTCGAAGTCTTTGCTGTAGATGATTATGTCGTCGATGTAGACTAGTGCGATTTGCCACTTGAATCGGCTGAGCACTTTGTCCATGAGCCTTTGGAAGACGGCGGGTCCCGATTTTAATCCAAAAGGCATGCGCTTGTATTGGTGTAGACCGCGATGGGTTCGTCTATCTTCCTCCTTGACTTCGATTTGAGATGCTTTTGGAAATAGAGACCAAACGGGACATGGAAGCTGGAACATTACGCATCTCGCAGAGTCACTATGCCAACGAAAAAAATACGAAGACGTTTGACATGGCATATTGCACACAGACGAAGTATCCGATGCTCGAATCATTTGCTGCAATCGCGAATGACAAGCGACAGTTACCAGATCGAAGGTTTCCCTATCTCGAATTTATCGGAAAAGTCAACTATTTGGCAAGATCTACGAGACCAGATCTATCGTTTGTCGCGTCACACCTAGCGACTTTCTGCAGCTGCTACCAAGTGGAGCACTGTAAGGCTTGCAAGGAGGTCATGAGATACATCAAGGTGACTGTTGATGCCAGTATCACCTACAGCCGCTCTGGAACGAATCAGACTATTGGATACAGCGATGCGAACTACGCCACGGATCCGGGAGATCGGAAGTCAGTATCGGGGTATGCTTTCACCTTCGCTGTCGGGCCAATAAGCTGGAAGTCGACGAAGCAGCCTGTGGTTGCACATTCAAGCTCCAAGTCAGAATTAGTCGCACTGGATAGCGCGGCCAGGGAAGCTGTATGGATCGCCTCCGTACTACATCAGTTGAAACGACCCAGTGTGCTCCCTATGCAGATATAAGAGGACAACCATGAGACAGTCAATATCACGAAGAATCCGGTCAACCACCCTGGCACAGAGCATATCGCCGTACGATACTTCGCCATTCCAGATTGGATCCAAGATGGATCTTTGAAGATAGATTACCTGCAGACGTCCGCTATGCTTGCGGATGCTCTGACCAAGCCACTAGATGGAGCGAAACTGAGGGGGCTATGCTTGGGAATGGGGATAGAATTCTGAGCGTAATGAGTTGCCATCAGTTGGTGCAATGCCTAATAGGTTTAGTAGTTCAGTGGAAAAACGTATGCTTAACAGCCATCTGTATGCGCGCATAAGGTCCCGGAATCGAAACCCAGTAGAACCTAGCTTTTTGTCGCGCCAAAGCTGGACTTTTTGGACAAGACGACCATGTAGCCAGGCTTAGAGATCCAGAACGTTGTCATCTTGAGCTACTGCAAGAGACTCACACTACGAGCGATACTGACACCCTCCCACCTATTCCCTTTCCGCCAAGTTCGATCTCTCGTCATACTATCTTTTTTACACTTGTTGTACAATAGATCGTCGCAAAACCTTCACCACAGTTCTGGCGTTCATCAATCAGATCGGGCTGTGAACCGATCGAAGCTCTTTCATCGAACGCGGATAACGGGTGGATCATCAGTGTGTGAGTTCTGAGCAACCTACCTGAATTGTTCATCGCGAATACCTACCGCAAAAACGAGCCCGTTCTTACACTACTGCAACAGGGTGGGTCCACTGGACATGAGGTACCTGTCGCCCAGTTCAGATGTCCTGGACTATGGATTGGCGGCCTAAATGATCACACAAAGCACGTCACTATCCTTTTACTACTTGTTATACAGTAGATAGTCGCAATATCCGTTTGATAAGTCAAACCCTCTATTACCAGTTTCGCCACTGCTACTTGATCCTGCAATTGTGGTATATAGAAATGTAAGTGGTTATACAAGATGACTCTCCTTATGTAAAAGTAGTGCAACAAGTTTACACAACTTGCACAACTCCACAGTACCTCTTTCCAAGGGCTAGTTTGAGAGAAACATACATCTCAAAGTCAGAGTCAAACTCGCGAGTTTCATGATCTTGACCGCGAGTTTTTTATTCACCAAACTGTCAGTTAGCTTGAATATGAGCTTGACTCTCAGTATTGAATCCATGAAGTAACCGCAAAAGCATCCCAATATAATGATATTCTGCTTCGACAATACATCCGTTAAAGCTCAACGGTAACAACAACTTTGTGCAAGCGGTAGGCCCGGGATCGGGACTGGAAAGGAACTCTCTTCTTGTATTGTTTCCCCTTTTCTAAGTTTTACCTATCAACCCTAGTTGCCGTCCTGTCCAAGACTCCAGCCACGACACAGCTGGTACAGGCTGGTCAAAGCAACGCCTGCATATCTGAGTGCCTTAGTGTGGCGGCTTTCCCTCGAGTCTACTAAGTCCTTACTCTGATTCGCGCGCATGTAAAGCGAACCCGAAGCGAAAGCCTGTGTTGCCGAAGGAAGGACTTGCGCACGAATGAGCTGAGTCATAGGAGGGTGCGACAGATAACGCCCTGGGCGATTGTCTTTAGCATTAAGTATTTATATCGCTATCCCGCGGCTAACGCAAGACATGCGGCAGGTATACTTGTACTGGAAAGAACAGAAACTGACAACCCTTTGCTTGGGGGTTGCGTCTCGAAGAACTCTAGCAGACGTACTTTTGGGGGCCAGTGTATCTATCCTGCATTAGTACCGGTTAAGTGTTCTGGTGCGAAAACACCCTTCCCTTTTCGCAACTCACGACTCAATCAAGATAATCGCTACCTTTCCATGAAGAAACACCTCCTTGATACCCCTGGGTTGCTGCTTGAACAGCTCTCACAGACATGTTACCGCGCGACAGTCCATCTTGACCACATCGACACGCGTCTCGGTAACCTTTCGTCTCGCACCACCATTATTCCTCCGGAAACCCATGATTGACTGGAGACGCAAAAAGGGAGAGACTTGTACTCAAGTGAAAAGTGAGGTGCTCTGAGGGAGAACTGAACCTGGTAGTGCTCCAACAGTCGAGCATCCGGGAGCCAGTCCGACTGCTCCTCTTCTTTCACATGGTCTATTACCCTACCAGCTACGACTCTTCTTTGAGGCGAATGGATTCTGAACACACTTGATCACGAGTACTTCGGAAAAACGTCATGCTGACACTCATACCGTACACGCCCTACACGCAAGTTGGCGCCATGTGGCCTTTACGTTTCTTGCGCTATATACATTCTGGTTTGCGCTTCGATGCTCTGCCAGTGTCTCATAAACCTTTCAATTCGAGGCGCAATGCAGGAAGTTCGACAGTCCGAGCATACGTAATTATTGGCGGCGATCGCACAGAATAACAGGGCAGATGCTGTTCAGGCGGAAAAATGCATGAAAAGGATGAATCCGACTTCTGACTTCGAGTGAAAACCTAAAAACTCAAATTCAGGTTGAATTCATTGAGTCAAAAACACAAATTTGAGCTCATTTTGACTATATTCAACAATCTGGGACAGGGCGAAGTCAGAGTCAAAGTCAAAGTCAGATATTGACCTTTTTGTTAACTTTATTCACTAAAGTCAAAGTCATGCAGAGCTCTACCTTGGCACCAGTTGCACAAACGCGACTGTACACTTGCATTGTGCAACTGTAAGCGCGTCTCTAGGGAGCTCTTGGGGAAAAGCCATTTGCCTTGGGGGTGATAGACGCCTTTCTGAGTTGTCATAGTTCTGCCACCATGATTTATTTAATTCACGATTGATTTCATCAACCATATCGGAGCAACCGTCCTTGGCTGTTATCTAGCACGCTAAGTAATCAAGGTAGATTGACTAGCTATAGTGGTCTATCTCATTACATCTAGTTGTTATAGTCATATTATACGATACTATAGAGGCATTAGTATAATACATTCGACTAAACCCACCAAGAGGTCTAGTTCTGTATCGAAAGGTATTCCATCATATCACACTACATATATAGGTGCAACGTTACTAGCATCCTTACATACTCCCTTTCCGCAGACCAGCTCGCGTCATCGCTTTGTATACAGGGCTTTGCATTAGTTTTTCCTTCCCTTACCGTTGTTTGGTAAACAAAGGGGGATGGCTATTGTTGCAGTTCTGTTGCTACTTTTCCAAGTGGCAGAGTATCGCGGGTAGCTAGTAGCTACACGTGAAAGTACGCGAAATCGAACTTTGTGTGGGAGGCTTTACTCCTCAAGGAGAGATCAAGGATACTTTAGGAGTATTCTGGACAAAGGAACAGCGTGGTCAATGGGAACCCTAGGGATATTGATTTCGAGCAGGACTTTGAGCTTACCGAAAGGGATTCGCAGACACTAGTCTCAAACTCTTATAATGCACTCCTCCTGTTCTGTCGGTGAGTGCCTGTTCTGTCGGTGTTTGTCTTATTGTGTTTCTCAAACCCTAACAAGATGGCCGGAAAACTAGAAATCATTGTCCTCGGTAGTGGACCCTCATGCACTACACCCAACCTCGCTTGTCTCACAAGGGACGATAGCTCCATCAATGCACCATGCCGATGCTGCTCCAGTATCAGCGAAAGCACCGATGACGCCATGGCAGCAGGTGGAAGGAAGAATATGAGAGGCAACACCTCTGCTGTTGTCAGAAAGACATGGTCAGATGGGACCCAGAGGTAAGCCAATCTTGACTATATCCTTATACTTTGTTGTCAGCTGAGCCAGTGCAAACAGTTGTGTCCTGATTGATTGCGGCAAGACGTTCAATCGGTCTGTGGTGGACCACTTTCCGGCGAATAAGCTGAGAAAGATCGATGGTGGGTAACATAAAAGCATTAGTGGGTTCATCAATACCACAAGACGGACTAATAAATGTGGCCTGCTTAGCTGTGATACTGACGCATGACCATGCTGACGGTAAGTCGTGTTTTTCCAAAATTATAACTTGCAGTCAGCTTGACATAGCAAGTCACGTTCAGCAACTTTTGGTTGCGGCGATCTGCGTGTCTTCACATGGAGACAATGGATTCAAGATAGCGTTCCAGTATATCTTGATCTTAAAACTTTTTCCATTCTCAACGAACGATTTCCGTATGTGGTATATACATGTACAGCGATGTTACAAGCGGTTAACTTATCCATGGTTCTGTTTTAACCCAGCTATCTCGTTCAAGCGGGAGTCGGAAGCGGTACTGGGCTGAAACCTGCCTTGGATTTCAAAATCATCGATGCACACAAAGAAATCACCATCGCTGGAATCGTAAGTTTTTTCTAAAGCATCTCATCTCAACCAAGCAGGATCCTTGACTTCGCCCCTTTCTTGGCGCTTTTAGAACTTCCTCCCCTTTGAAGTACAACACGGTACAACCGACGTCACTGTCCCGATGACAGTCAGCGCAGCCAAGGGCAACCATGACACGAGTGTGCCGTCGTCTCCGGAAGAGTTCAGTCAAGAAGCGACAATGAAAATCAAGGTGCCATATATGACTTTGGCATTACTGATTGAAGACAAAATCCTATGGATGACCGACACTAACGTCCTTCCTGATCGAGCATGGAACATTCTCCTCCACGGAGTGAACAAGGAGGGGGCGATAGTTGCACCGGATTCATCGAAAAGGAAGTTGCCGATGGCTTTCATCGATCTTGCCGATCACATGATGATCGGTCGCGCTCATTTGGACTTGCGAGGGTTCATAGAGACACTGGACAGGTTGGAGCCTGAATGCACTTTCGCAATTGGGATGAATCATACATTGTGTCACGGAGAGATCGTAGCTTTGGGACAGGAAGCGGAAGGTCAGAGGCCTATGGGATACGAAAATGCGTTCATCGAGAAGGCGCTGTACGGCGATATCTCCAAGTTGGCCAATGACGGGTTGTTCGCACGGATTCAGCAAAAGCGATTGCACTTTCGGCCTGCTTTTGATGGAATGACGGTCTCGATGGAATTGGAAGACGCCATGGCCAATGTCTAATCAATACATCCATCATGTAAATATTCCGTGTTGCTTCTTATTTCTATCTGGGTTGTGGTACAAATTGCCGTTTTCAGAAGGCTGTCTGTAAGCCTGTATGATGTTTCACTGGACTTTGTATGTCTGCGCTGGCCCGCGTCTGAAAAGGAAATCATTCAACAAGTTCTCCCTATCTACGTTGCCTTTGACAACTGAGCTGTTCCGGCTTTCGAGGCGAAAACGTGCGGCGATGTCATGTTCGATTTTCCCGTAAAATGGAACTAGATGTTACTATACTATGTTTGTCTCCTTACAGACCCACTACAGGGAGTCTGCTTCAGCATGCCTCCCTTCACATGAAACTAAACAACAAGACAGCGAA